CCTGCCCCATGGGTGTGGACGGCGGAGGGGATGGGTGTGTGGGTGGGTGAAAGACCAACACTGTCCATTTCACAGCACAGGCACCCACATATTTCCAGGGGAGGGCCTTCCAAAGGATCAAGGAGCCAGATGCAGCCCTCAGTCCCGCCGGGGGCCCAGCCCCGGGGCTGGTGGGGTTGCCGCATGCACCTGACGACCTCTCTTCCCGTAACCCTGCGCCCCACCTAGCCAAGGGATCAGACGTTGCAGCTAGAAGGTTGGAGGAGCCTTCTTTCCTTGGCTGCGGGGGAGGAGGGCTCTGCTTTTAAATGATTTTCAGAGTTTTTACTGTTATGCTGGGCTGGATATCTTTATTACTGAAAATAGAGTAACTTATAAGTGACTGGGGACATTTTCTTGTCCGAAAGTGGGTGCGTTAGATACGGGTTGTGTCTGGGGCTTCATCCAGGGCCAGGGAGGAGCTGGGCCCCTGCGTGCACGGAGACAGGAGTTGGGGGCAGTGGACTGGTTCTCGGACTGTACCCTGTTCGTCCACTTGTCCGAGTTGCACAGAGGACAGAGAAGAGGTGGGCAGGACGGAGTCCTGTGGCCACATCACAGGAAGGCGAGAAACTGGCAAAGAGCACCCAGGAGGGCAGAAGACATCAGAGGAGCATCAGCTGAGGGTGGCACAGTGCCCACTGCATTTGGGGCCGTGGCGGGTGTTGGAATTTGCAGGGCAGATTGTGGGAACAAGACCTGGCTTGGAGGGAGAGGCTTAAGGGCACAGAGGGCACCATCACCAGCACCGTGTTGGTGGTCTCTTTGGAGGAGTTGCCGTCATTTATGGAACTGGCTCTTGTGACAGCCACCAAGTGCTTTCCATCCTATTAACAACCTGGCTGCAGTCAGTGGTGGTATGCCCAGGGCCTCTGGGCCGCCTCCAAGGTGTTAGACTGTAGGCTCCCGGGAGCAGGTCTGCTGGATGGAGGGTCTGTGTGAGTCTCGTTCTCCTAGATGAGGCCAGGCTGCCCACCAGAGGCTGTGTTGAACTGCTTCTTAACCACATGCGGGGCTTTCTTATAATGTCTCAAGCTCGAACCTTTGGCTGTTTAAGTGGCATGTTAGCATAGGCTTTAGTTTATAATCTTATTTTGAGTAAAGCCAAGAATTTGTCCATATTTCCAAGAGCTGTTTGTATGTCCTTTGCTGTGAACTCTGTTTGTATCTTTTAACATTTTGCATCGGGTTTTTGATATTTTCCTTATTAAGTTATATTAAGGTAATTAACTTGTTGACTATGAAATGTTTCAGTTTTTTTTTCTGCATAAAATTTTATTTTTATGCTCTGGAGTGTGTCAATATTTCCTTTTATGTTCAAGATTTGTATCATCCTTCCACTCAAAGATAATATAAAAAAATTCCTCCCAGGTTTTTTCCTTTTTTTTTTTTTAAGTACTTTTATGGTTTCATTACCATGAAGTTAAGTTTGCAATCCATTTAGGATTTATTTGCATATAAGGCGCAAGATAGAAACCCAGTGTGATTTTTTTTCCTGAATGCTGCCCAGACACTGAAACACCACTCACTGGTCATTCTGTCCCCCTTGGGTATGTATGTATTACTGTATTTGTCACTCCAAGGGAGGAAGACACTTTTTCACTCTGCCCTCCTGAGTTCTCTGGCTAGGGTTCTGCAAATAAGGCAGGCAAAAGACAGGCTAACAGGAGAGAAGCAGGTGATGAATGTATACAGTACACATGCAGGCAGGGAAACTCAGTGATGAGTAACTCAAAGAAGTGGTTAGAACTTGGGCTTATCTCACATCTTACCAAAGAACAAGAAATCCATAGGGAAGTGGCAAAACCCAGGAAAAGAATTTGGGGTTTCTAGGGGGGGAACCTGTTGGAGAACCCCTTGTTGACATGTGGGGAGGCAAGTGCGTGGACAGGGGTGGGGTGGGGTGGGGGGAATTGATGGGAGGGGGGAGCTAGCTGCAGCCCAAGTTCCTTTGCTGTGTCTCAGGGCTGCTGTGGCTCACCTCCGTTCCTCCCTGTGGAGAGGGGCACAGGCTGTGTGTACAGATTTATGACCTGCTTTTAGGCAAATGGGGGGAGGGCAGAGAGCTCTTCTGGCTACTTCTCCGTGGCCTTCAGCTCAGAATACTCCGTCTGCCGGCGTGGCCTGTGTGGGGTGGCGTCTTCGGCCACCCTTCACCGTGTATGTCTCTCCTTTTTGGTTCTTCAGGAAGTGGATCGCACTTTGTCGTTCCACATGTTTATTTATTGCCCCTCCGCCTGCTAGAACATAAACCCTTGATGGCAGAAATCACCACTTGGGACACCTACTATTTATTGTTTTAGTCTGTGAAATGTGTGTGTGTTTGGGGAGGTGGGGTGGGCAGGCTGAGATGGCTGAGTGGGGACAAAAGTGGGGCTACGTGATTCCAAAGGACCCAGTTCTCAAATCCCGCCCTCCAGCGTGACAGGTGTGACGTGTGGGAGGAGCTGGCTCTCGTGATGAGAACTTCACACTGAATGGGAGAGATGGTGGGACCAGGATGGAGTGAGGCTCAGTTACTCCCAGGTGACTGGGGTCGTGCCAGAGAGTCCACATTCCCGTTAGCTGAGCTCTCAGGTCACAGTTTGGCTCGCCCCAGTGGGGTCATGCTGAACAGGTGGATGGGCGATCTCCATTAAAAACAGAGGTGCATCGCCACCCGAGACTGACCTGAGGACTCAGTGGAATTACAGAAAGCCAAATCACTTTTGCTGAATGAAAAGTTGAGACAGTACCGTTCACCAAAACGTGCTGTGCTAGGTGGTAAAGAGGGACGATGCGAATGGTTACCTTTGCAGTCAGACGGTGGAGTTAAAGTTTCTTGCGTCAGCATCAGGCTTCTAAGTGTGGCAGTTACTGCGTTCCACCACATTCTTCTTTCAAACGGAGACGGACACCATCAGCCTCCGTGTGGTGAGAATTCACACGCACGCAGGTTATCGTGGGAGCATTAGAAGCAAATTGTTGGACGGAGGACATTTTTTTCTGAAGAGTAGCTTGATTTGCAGCCACGTTGGGGGACTGTAAATCTCACACAGGGGATCCTTAGGACTTTTTTGGGTGGTGGAGCTCAGAGAACTTTCTGGAATTTCTGACATTTGCACGTCTTAAGGACAGAAGATGGAGTCTCTGAATGTGCCCTGGGATGCCACCGGAGTCTCTTGGGGAGGATTTGCTCGACGGAATGGACTTCTTGGGCTGTGTCCGCCTCCCCCGCAGAAGTGGCACACGGGCAGCCAGGGAGGCCTGTGGCCCGACCTGCGTGGCCCACTGGCTCAGACGCATGCCGTACAGGTGACCCCGCTGACAGCTTTCCTCTTGGGAGGCTGTCGCCCAAGGCTCACTTCTTTGTCTCATTGCCCGCGTTGGTGGCTCGGGAAAGAAAGCCGATGTTTGCTACGGATATTTTAGGAGAGACCTACAGAAAGCTTCCTGCCGTGGGGTATCTTCCCGGCCTGCCGGGACCATCGCGGATTTTGGCGCTTTGCTCAGCCGAATGTGTCATAACAAGCACAGCGCAGAGATGCGCCGAGCTTCTTCTTCTTCTTCTCGTTTTTAAATTAGACAGAGAAAATATAGATGCGGGGGTTTATATAGTTCCATAAAGAGACAGCTTGACCTTCCTCAATAGGAACTGCCTTTTAAAAGGTACTCGGGTGATCATTTTGATAGAACCACAGTTGGAACATTATTATAAAACAAATGGCTAAGGATAAACATTGAAAACATTCATGCCTTTTAAAGGAACTTCGTCTGAGTCATGGTGATTCAGTCTACAGCCTTCACGGTATTTGAGTTTCTAGAATAGTCTTTCCCCACTCTCTGCAGTGAATTCAATGGCAAATGTGAGCCTCACCTGGATGGTAATTTGACAAGGACAGATCTCTCTTAAGAGCATTATCTTGTGGTGGGGATTAGATTTCTGGATGACAGAAAATGATTTCAAGTACTTCACGTAGAAAGCTTGCAGAATGTTTCTGAGGACCCGTTATCCTGTTTGTCCAGTGGTGTGTCCGAATCCCCGTTTATTTCTTCTCTTACAATTGTGTCTGCCCCCGCGAGGGGGCTGACACGTTGACCCATCCCCTTTCTGGGCTCCTGACTTTGAGCCCCCTCGGGAGTATCCCTATCATTACCCACTGAGGCCCGCTCCCAGAGTTGAGCCATTTGCTTTCAAGCACCTGTTACCAGCACGTCCTCCCCACCTGGAGGCCCAGCATCCGGACCCCAGCGGCCTCCAGCCGGTCCATCTCGCACCCTCGCCACGTCCCGAGGTGTCCTGCCCGGGCGAACCCTCTGCAGCCAGGTGCCCCTAGGCCTAGGACCCTCCTTGCCTCCTTTCCTCAGGGCAGCACCGGCACGTGGTAGCTGCTCAATAAACGGGTGCTCCGGGGACTGCCCGGCACAGACCTTATTTCTTGCTCATTTGTCCATCACCCGAGCGCCTCCCCGCCTTCAGAACCCTCTTGGTTTTGTGATATTTACTAACTGCAGACGCTGGAGATAATACTCAGAACGCCAAATTTCTTCTGATAACGTTCTGATTCAACTTGGAAGGGTGGTGACCCGTAGCGGTGCTTGGTCAGGGCCGGCCCCGTGCCGGGACCGTGGCCGTGAAGGGAACATCCGGGAGACCACGTGCCCTGCTAACGGTCCACTAAATGGAATCCCAGCCCATCGTAAGACGGACTGTGGCGTCGACACCCGTCACACTGTTAGGATACAGCCACGCCAACAGGAGGCACTAGGGCACTGCCAGCGGGAGGTTCAGGACGACCTGGTCGCATTTTGCGCGGTTCTGTTTGCCAGAGAGGGAACCGGGTGACCCCCGCATGGGGAGCCGCGCTGTCTACGCTGAACTGCACGGGCAGGTGTCTCCCCTGGGGACGTGCGCGTGTGGTCTCTTGGTTGCAGGATCCTGACTGATGTGACAAATGGATCTCTCTTCCTGCCCCCTTAAGGGAAGCCATCAGCCGCGTCTGCGAAGCCGTCCCTGGCGCCAAGGGAGCCTTCAGGAAGAGAAAGGTACTGTCTTCTGTGATGCCTCCCCACGCAGCACCTGCGGTCATGCCCCGCCCGTCAGGGCCCCCTGTCACCGCCTGGCTGTCGGCACTTCCCAAGCGACGAGAGCTCGGGGTCCCCCTGCCCTGGGGTTGGCAGGACGGCCGGCAAGTCAGCGCCCAGTTGTGCCCCATTGGCCCAGACCTGTAGACGGTGAGGAGACGGCACGGAAGACGGGGCTGGTGCCCCTCGAAGCCTCTCTGGGCGTTAGTTCTCTTCGCTAGAACAGTTGGTGGTGAACGCCCGGGTGCTGTGCTGCTAAATTTAACCAGCGGCCCTCAGGGTTCAGAGTACGAAGCTGCTCATCTGTGCCGTGTGCCAGTTTCCGTGGCATACGTGCTTCTGCCAGGCCCCTTCCAGGCTCTAGCGACATCCCCGGGGACGCGCACTGACACGTCATCTCACGGTGTTTCCACCTGGTTCACAGGTGCAGCGGGCACAAAGGCCCGAGCGGCACAGATGACCGGTAACGTAGCAAAAGCAGCTGGGAAGTGAGGAGTTTTGAGTACTTGTCTTTTTTTCTTTTTTTTAATGTAAGTTATTTGTTTGTAAGTTCACGTAAATTAACTTTTCAGAGCAGCTGTTTTTAACGGCCAGCTCCTAAAATTCCTAAAAATTTAATAATTGTCTCTCATTAGCCAGTACAACCAGCTCCAGAGCACCACGGGATATCCCCATTTTACAGGTGATGAAAACTGAGGCACAGAGATGTGGGTAGGGGTAGGCTGGGCTCAGGCCCATGTCACCCAGCTCCAGGGATTATACATTCAACCTTGGGTTGACTTTTTCACTCTGGAGATGGTTAGATGGCCAGGGAGAAAGTGGATTAAGAGAAAGCTCAGAAAACCTCTCCGGTTAGAAGTCTGGCAGGTACAGAACTAAATAGCCACTGTCAGGACTGTCTGTGCCCGGACTCTATTGCTCTGTCGTGAGGCGTTACCTCTGATGTCCCCGAATCCGTCTTGGGGCTGAGGTTTGCAGGCAGGTGGCCGGCTTGTTGACACACCCCGCCCTGGGTGGGTTTTGTCATTACAGCTCGGGGACATCCGCGAAGCCGTAAGGCAGCTGGGTTTCAGGCAGAGAACTTTGAATCTTGACTATCACGTAGGGTCACTAGAAGGGGGGTCTGAGGACAGAGCTAGGGAGTGTCCTCTTTCAGAGCCCGGGGAGGGTGGCAGAAACAAGGCTGATGGCCTCGGGTATGACTTAATCAGAATCTCGGGGGACGGGGCCCAGGCCTTTCTATTTGTAAACAGCTCTGTCAGATTAAAAATGGTTTAAGAACCAGCTGTAATTAGCACATCAAAAGAGGGTATGTTCTAGTCTGAAAGGGAAGGATGGCTTGGGGGCCCTGGACCCAGATACCCGTGTTGGCCTTTGGGGGGGGGGGGGCGGGCAGGGATGGCTGGTGCGGAAACGCAGTCCTTTGGGCCCTGTGCCAAGGACTTTAACTGAGCTGAGCCCGGTGGTCCGTCCCTGTGCCGGGCCGTCCGTGTGAGCACCGGCCTGGAGGACGTTCCGGCCCAAGGCCCCCAGCAGTCAGCAGTCTCGAGACTCCACGGGGTGTTCATCGGCCCCGCGAGCTGCACCCTGCTCCTCTGGCTCTGCCGTTTAGCTCCCAGGGGGCTGGAACCAGTATCTGAGCCTGGAAGCTGTGAGCACTGGCCCGTGGCCCTTTCCTGGGCTTATGAGTGACAAGAGACTCATCCCCACGGGAGCTGCCCGCATGCGGACGGTGCTGACGCCCGAGGGTCCTCCCGCGTGTGTGTGCATGACGTGTTTATGACGTGTTTGTGGCTGCCTGTTGCGAGTCCCAGAATCCGTGTGCTCCTGTGGGATCCCGCCTGCCGGCTCCTTCGTGGCACAGCCTCCTTCACGTGGCCAGTGAGGGCGGGAAGGTGGGGGCTTGGGGGTGCCGCAGACGGGAACAACAGAGAGGCTGTGACAGCGCGGCATCTCGGGAATCGGAAGCTAAAATCTGGCCGCTTGATTTCACAGCCTCCCAGCAAAATGCTGTCCAGCATCTTGGGCAAGAGCAACCTCCAGTTTGCGGGCATGAACATCTCCCTGACCGTGTCCACCGCCAGCCTGAACCTGCGGACGCCCGACTCCAAACAGGTCTGTCGGCGCCCGGGCCCCCTGGGTGTTTTGCAAGCTTGCCGGCTCTGCTGGGTCTGGCAGAGAACATTCGTCTAAAATCTTTACGAGCCTGCAAACTTTGGCCCCTTTAAACGGTTGCCCACGGAATGATAGGTAGAACTGGTGTTCTTGGAATCTGCTGCAAATTACCGTGTTTTTTTTTTTTTTTTTTTTTTTTAAGGGTAACGTCTAAAGTCATTGAGGGACTTGCAGTGTAGAAGCAGGCGCATGTGTTTGCCACGGACTCCTCGTCTCCTTGCCCGTCTTTCATTTCCTTTTACACCGTATTTCTTGGACTCCGCAGCCCACGTCTCATTTCCACATTTTGTCATCCTTGAAGTGGATGGCACCTCGTGGTTTAATGGGCCAGATTTTTTTCTGTCTTAGCGGTTCCTCATCCGGAGCCACTCGCGGTTGACGGTGTCCTGGGTCGCTGCACGAGGCATACGGGAGGGAGTCCGCCCGGTGCGGGACGTCCGCCGCTCGCCGGCCGAGGCCGCACGGCGGTGGCGATCGCTGGGGCGGGTTCCGTGTGTGATACTGGCCTCTCGGCAGCGTGTGTCTTAGGTCTCTCGGGCCTCAGTTCTGTCCGCTGGAACAGTGGGTGTCTCAGTGGCTGTCCTGGGTACCAGCAGGTGAAGACGCCCAGATGCGTAAAAGGGCGTGTTCCCCGTGCAGCCCGGGGCTCCGTTGCCAGTGGCCTGAGGTGGAAATGGGATGCGTCTCCACGGGGAGAGAGGTGGGCCACCCGCACACCTCTGACTCTGGCCGTGTTCCCGGGGGTGCCTGGGGTTACCTTTGCGTTGCCAAATATATTTATATTCATTGACTTCAGTGTTCCCCAGGTCAGCGAGTGGCACCACCTCCTACTCCATTCCTCACTTGCCGGACAGATAATCCCTGTCTTTTCACGTTGGTCCTTCCGACGGGTGGGGTGGGGGTGGGTTAGGAAGGTTCAGCGGGCTCTGCCTTTCTCTAGGGCCCTCTCAGGGCTGAGCACCTGTGACCCCGGGCTGCAAGGTGGGAGGGACCCCTCTGCCCTGCACCACACGCCCATATCCACTGTCACGCAGTGTGGCCGTTGCTGTTATGTTTCTAGGGATCCTCAGGCTGTGGCCCTCAATTCTGCGGGATACACGTCCCGATCCCTGCCTATTATACCTCATTCCCCCCTTAAGAAAAACAAGCAAACTCAGGAGGAGTGGAAGGGACGTGGCCGTGCTGGGGTTGGGGGCTGGTTGGCTGTGTCCTCACTGTTTGTGGAGCATGGGTGTGGGGCTGGGCTCAGGAGCCGGGGGCACCCTCTGGGACGATAGGAACACGGCCCGGGACGGTGGGCGCCAGCCCCCGCTCACGCCCCTGGCTGTCCCGTGGCGGCCTGGCTGTTGCAAATTAGGAGGAGTCTTGGCCGGACACTGCCCTCCCCCGTGCAGAGCAACCGTGAAAGTCCCGGCCGCTCTCCTCTGCCGAGCGTCCCTCAAACCTCCCTTGGCCAAAAACACCTGCTCGAGATTCACCGGCTCAAAACTCCATTTAATCTCCCATCTTTTCCGAAGGTCTGAAATACAATGATACAGTAACAGCCACACGTCGTGACCAAATAGGATTTCTGCTTTTTCCCCTCAATTATAATACCCGCTTCCAAACTCCAGTATGAGGGCTGTCTTATAAGCAAAAACTAAGCAGAAATCAACACCTTTTCGAGGTTTATCCTCGTGTGGGGATTGCTGGTGCTTTGCTGCCCTCCTGGGAGCCCCCTGCCCCGGGGCTGGAGGCAGGAAGCTTCCAGAAGGCTGCAAGTGGCCGCTGGTAGCTGGATCCGGCCGGGTTGGTACAGGCTCCAGAGTGGCTTCCTTGTTTCCATCCATTTATATGCTCAGGTCTTTTTAGATCGCGAGTGGTTTTGCACATGCCATTTTGGCATTTTAGAACGAATGGTTTTCTCCCAGTTCAGACACAGGTTTGCTTCGAGCGTCTCGGGAGCACAGTCGGGAAGCTCCTCGCACGGTGGGATTTCACCTCCGTTAATTTCCGACTGCCCGCCACCAAAGGCCTGAGGGGCTGTGCGGGAATAAATCTGGTGGCGGTGTGATGGAGACGGGGCCACTGTTTCCACCCCGGAATTCAATTCAAGGTCATTCCATTGTCTTTGACATTATAAAAATAGCATGGGAAACTTACGTCGCAGCTTAAATTTAGGGCAGCTTCTAATTTACTGTCTACTGAATTCCGCTGCCGTTTGTAAAGCTGATGGAAATTTCCGGGTTTACTACTGACTTGGAATGTCCCCCCTGGCCTTTGCATCGATGGAACCGGTCGCAAGAGTGCCTGGGACACAACGAGACACGCTCCTTGCTCACTAGCTGGGGGTCGGCACTGAAGACCGCATGTGTCTCTGGAAGCAGAAATTGTACCAGTGACCTGTTTCCGTGTGGGGGTGAGACCCTTTCCTTCTCCGAGAGGGAAGGTCGTTAGGACGCCCGTTAGCTGTGGTCCTTCAGCGTCGGGCTTCCCATCTGTGACACGGGCGGCCGTGGCTCCTCCCTCAAGGGTTGCCTCAAGGGAGCTCGCCGAGCCAGCAGCTGACGTGTGGGGAAAGCCCACCGGGGGTCAGCTGGTGTGACGACTCCCATCCCTTTATTTGCGCTGGGTACCAGTTTTGCGGATTCTCAGGAAACCTTGTCGTATCGCCTGCCGACAAACGGTGGCTTTTCCAGGACGCGGGGCGGGCACTAACGGTGTGTCTCCTTTCTTGTCCTGGGCCTGCAGATCATCGCCAACCACCACATGCAGTCGATCTCGTTCGCCTCCGGGGGAGACCCGGTAAGTGCCCGGGGCTGCTTTTCCTTGCTCTCGTCGGGGCTTTTCCAGAAGGGGCCTTCCTCCCAGGGGTGCGTTCTAGGGCACGATCGGGAAAGGTAACTGGGGTGACAGCTCTCCCCCCCACCTGGTTCCGTAAGCCCTTCTGGACCAGCATTAGTTCTCGTGCCACTAGCCCAAAGCGGTCGAAAATCCTCCAAGCGCTGGCTTTCTGAAGAGGTCCTGGGACCGCGCCCCAGTGTCAGCCGTCAGGTCAGACATCAGCCCCCATCTGATGACTGTGGGTCCTGCTTCGTTCCTGTTTTCTCTTGGGCTCCGGCAGGGCCCTTCGGTTTCGCGGTTGAAGTCTACGCGAAGCCTGTGAGTTGGCTTAGTCTGGTTTATTCATAGATGTTTGAAATTGGAATTTTTCTACCCACATTTAATGTTGTAGTCTTACTGGTTTGCTTTGCCAGCAGGGAGGGAGAGAGAGAGAGAGAGAGACAGAGAGAGGGAGAGAGAGAGGGCAAGGCAGAATGGGAATGTTCTATTTTTGCATTGCTGCTTTTATTGAGAAGGTCACAAGGTAGTTCACGCCTCACGTTTGGTCAAGATGGTGTCAGTGCTCATTTTCAGCGTCATGAGAGGCAGGACCCACAAACCCCTTGCTTCCCCTCTCCCTCCTCCCCTCCCTCCTCCCCCTCCTCCTCGCCCCACCCCCCACCCCCCACCCCTCCCCGCCCCCAGCAGAGCCAGACCCACACACACTAACTGCTGCTCACTGTTGCTGGCCAGCCCTTGGAAACAGCTTGCAGGCAGGAAACTATCTCCAGGGAAGAAGAGCCAGTCAGCCCTCGGAGCCGTGAGGGAGAAAACACCCGCCCCCAAGACCGCCCTCATACCATTTCTCATTGGTCCGGGCCACGTTTTCACCAGTCTGGGGAAGTATTTAAAAATTAGGACGACCGAGTGAGTGTTTTCTTGAAGCCACATTTACTCAAAAAGAAAAATTGTTCTATGTCCTGGCATGATGTCCTTTTGCTGTTGAATAAGCCTTTTATAATAAAACGACGAGGCTTAGAAGTGGTGTTTTTGTTGTTATCGTGGTTTCGTTATGTGCAAGTTTCCGGGTCCAGGGCAGCCGGAGCAGATCCCGTCCTGGTCCGGCCGGGAAGGGGGTATTTCCCAGGCTGTGACGACTCGGTGTGTCTTTCCCGGCCTGCTCCCTCTCCCTGGGGAACTGCTTGTTGCACTTGCTGCTGGCTCAGGAGCAGCAGCTCGAGCGGGCGGGCGCTTTCCACTGCTGGCTCTCATCTCGACATCTCTAAAGGCTGGTGGAGTCACGGCCCCCGGCGTCTCGGCTGCAGACAGCCCACGCCCCCCCCCCCGGCCCCCGGGCCGGGGGGGGGGCCCCCCCCCCCCCCAAGGAGGTGTCAAGCCCAGCCAGACCCTCGGGCCAAGGGCATTGGCAGGAGAGCGATTCGGCCACCCTGCACGTGGTTCCTTGCCCTTACACCCCCGCCTGACCAAGAGAATATGGCAAAGCACCCTTGGACCACCCTCAGCACCTCCACTGACTCACGCTCTCTTCCTTTAGGGTCTAGTCCTCAAAATCTCTCCCCGTGGTTTCCTCTTTTCCTTCCCCTCCCCTCCTTTACTTTCTCTCCAATCCCTTAATCTGTTACATTTTATCATAAAGCGAAAGACCTCACTGAGACATACATTTAGCAAGTGGGAGTCTGCCACTAGAGATGGGATCTCGAGGGACAGGTGCACCTGCTGTGGACCGGCACGTGCACATGTCCTCACGCCTCCACCTGTGTCTGCACGTGGCTCCAGTCAACTCGCAGAGGCGTCTCACCGCTGGCCCCGTGTGATGCTCGTAGCCATAGTTTCCGAAATTTGGGAGGTAACCCAGCTTGCAAAATAAAAGGAAGAAACAGTGCGTACCCACAGCGACAGATTCTTCCAAGAACTTGTCTCACACCTCAACTTAATGATGCTATGAGTGGACCTGCAGAGATGGAAGGCTCAGGAAGCCAAGGACACAGGCTTCTGTTCAAATTTTCCTGTTCTCCAGGGTGCACACAGGTCTGTGAGCCTCAAATTTCCTCACCTCCTTGCTTTTATTTATTTATTTATTAAAAAAAATTTTTTTTTCAACGTTTATTTATTTTTGGGACAGAGAGAGACAGAGCATGAACGGGGGAGGGGCAGAGAGAGAGGGAGACACAGAATTGGAAACAGGCTCCAGGCTCTGAGCCATCAGCCCAGAGCCCGATGCGGGGCTCGAACTCACGGACCGCGAGATCGTGACCTGGCTGAAGTCGGACGCTTAACCGATTGTGCCACCCAGGCGCCCCACCTCCTTGCTTTTAAAAAAGAAAAAGGAAGCACTGGGTGCTTTTAACCTTTTTATATTTTTTCTTATTTGTTTCTGGTGCATAAAACGTCACGATACCAGGGGACAGGAAACCTGGTCAGTTCCTATTTTAACCAAGCCCAAATGCACGTTCGCATTGTGCGTGGGTTCCCGTTCCGCACTGGCTTGTAACCATTATAATTGGAAGATGTTTCAATAAAACTAGCAATCCCAGGTTCGATCCCTTGTTCTGGTGCTCAGTGTGTAACTACTCACTGCTTTGTGCTCTAGTGGACCCAGTAAGAAAATGTTTTGAAATATCAACTAAGACAGGCTGAAAAACACTGTTAATCCAAAATCCCCCCAAAATGTGCCCTGTAATCATAATCTGCTGTGATTACCAGTGTTCACAGGCCACCAGAAGGGGGTCAGGGTGCCCGCCAGGCTCAGAAAGGTTTGGGGGTGGCAACAGGGATGCAGGACGGGCAGCCGGCAGCCCCATCTGTGGAACTTGGTGTTCAGTGTGACTGGATGATGTCTGGAACAACGTTCTGAACACCAATACGCTCCCCCCAGCGTGCCAGACAATGATCAACATTGGCTTTAGAAGAGTTCTGTCCTGGCTTGACCCTAAACCATCTGAGGGATGGGACACATGTCATGTGTCTTTCCTGGCCTTCCTTCCCCAGAGGAGCGTTTCTCAGACTGGAGTAAGAATTTAAGAAGAAGAATTTCTTTGCGTATGCCACTAGTGTTGACTCAAATTAATTTTGTCACCCAAACATGCACAAAAATAAATCAAGTATACATTCCTTGGGTTCATACGTCCTATTGAACTGTAAGCCCCGATCACGTTTGAAAGTTTAATCCTGATAAACACAGTAAAGCCAGAAACCTTCAAAGTGACAGGAATTTACCGGGATGGGTGGTTTTGCTGACGTCACCCAGATCTCTGCTCTCAGAGGGACTCTCGAACCGGCCGCCACGGTGCGGAATCCTTCAAGGTCAGCATCTCTCTACTACGTCAGGCGCCTGGGTGACTCAGTCCTTCCACTAATTTATTCTGTTGAAGTAAGCACTTCAGTGATGCATCGTTGTGTACAAATGTGACGTTAATTGCTTGAGTTGGGGCAAAAGCATCTAGTCTGAGTGTTCTTTTTTCTCGAATTCTTTAAAAACTTGGCATCTGTAATGTTGGAAACCCAAGTGACAACCTTGTCGCTGACATTGCAACGCAGAACCGATGACGCAGTGGTCATTCAGATGGTCCCGGATATTCTTGTATTAATTTGTAAGATTATTATGGAAACTAAAACACGAAGTTAGAAAGAAAGTCTGGTCACATCTCAAACACTGGAGAATATTCCTGACCAGGCCTAGAATTCCACGGAGCTCGGACGGAGAGACGCCGGTGCTGTCCTAGGACCCTTCCAATGCTGTCATCTCCTGAGTCCACAGAAAGCGCCCGTGACTACAAGCTGGAGTCCTTACTTGGCTGTTAGTTTCATATTCTGACCAGATCTTCCTTGATGGAAATGACTGGAAGCTGGGTTGATGGTCTGTTTTTCACCCCCCTTCCTAGCTCAGGGAATATACCAGCAGACAGTGGCCTAAGGAGGAGCATTGAACAGCGTAGACGGGCAGCATACTGGAGGGACCCTTGGTGGCAACCAGTCATGTCAAAACCCGCTGGAGGGCCCTCCTCCCCTCCTCAGACCCAGCGGGTCACTGTGAGTTCTGGGAAACCATGTACCACGTATGGAAAAGCACCCTGTGCCTGGTGCTGCCTGCTGGGGCGTTCAGGAATCATTGCATGTCCCCTCTCCCATCGGAGGGTTTTCCTGGAGCACGGCAGAGAGAGAAGGGGTCATCCCCTGCCCACGGAGAGTAGTAATGAAGGCAGTCACGACACAGAATCTTCCGGATGCTGAAAACCTGGAGCTCATCTGTAATGTTGGAGCCCTTCGAAGCAATGACATGTGGGAGAAATCTGCAACAACGGGGTGAGCCTTTACCGGCCGCCCCCCCCCCCCCCCGGAGACTTTACAAATGTTGAGAATGTCAGCTTTGCAGGGAATGTCTGTTCTGCTTTCCAGGATGAAGAGAATGATTGGTTCCTCTGCCTGTTTAGAGGCGGCCCAGCCTACATCTGAGGACAGAGCCTCCTCCGTGCAAGGATCAGATGAGGCCGCCGCGCAGACTCGGATTTCACCCGGAACAGCCAGGCTACTACTCAGAGCTCATATGTGTGAAACATCTTAAAACATTAAAGTTACTACTTATTTCCGAGAAGAAAAGAACCATCACATGCCATCCACCCAGGAAGGCGTTCCCAACCAACCTTTGAACGTCCGCTTCTGGTTTCCTCGTGGCTACTAGACCAGCAGCACCAGCACCGGCTGGAAACTTGTCAGAAATGCACATTTTGGGGCCTCCCCTCAGACCCACAGAATCCGAAGCCCCAAGGCGGCACCCAGCAGCCTGTGTCTCCACGAGCCCGTTGTGGGACTCTGACGCCAGCTTGGACTGACGGCCGCCGATTCAGGCAGAGCTCAGGACAGTGGCTGTCAGCCTTGACTCACGGTAGAATCTTCTGGAGAGCTTCAAACCGTCCTGAGGCCTCATGGCCTCCCGCCCAGCAAGGGCGGATTATCCGGGAGCTGGGACTCGGGCAGCAGTGCGTTCAGAGCTCCTGGGGGGATCCGCCGTGCAGAGAACGGGGTGCCCGTCACACGGCCGTGGCCCAGAGCGTAGGCACAGACAGGCGGTGTCCGCACCAGAGCCTCAGGCCCCGCCCTGGACCCGCCGAGTCAGAACCCGCACTTCACAAGGTCTGGAGACTCCTGGCCGCGGTAGTGTGAGAAATACCGTCCTTCTGGGCTGTCCCTTGGGAGCGTTAGATTCCTGGGCTGCGTTGCGTAGTGTATGTCTGGCTGTGCTGTCTTGCTCGTGGTTAGTGACGTGGGTTCCTCGTTTTTCTCTGACAGGACACAACCGACTACGTTGCGTACGTAGCTAAGGACCCTGTTAACCGCAGAGGTAAGCAATGCTCGACTCCTACAGTCTCACTCGTGCGCGGTCAGGCTGAACACGGTGCCAGGTGCTCCCCCTGGCCCCGCCCCCTCCGCCAGCACGACCCGTGTGTCCCGCCGTGCCGTTAACGGGAATTGAGGGCTGCCTGCCTTCTCGGTGGGGGCAGGAGACACCGGGCGGCCGGGGGCCTGAGACACCCACCTGCACGCAGGGAGTGCGGCTTGGAGCACGTGACCTGCACCTGTGGCTCCCGTTCGTGCCCTGAAAGCGGCCTCGGCCACACCTGGAACGCTGTGTCCCCCCCCCCCGCCCCCGCCCGACCCCAGCCCCACCGCCAACCACGTCACCCCGAGAAGCCTGCGCTGCCCTGAGCAGTCCACACTCACGTGCCATCCACTCGCGCCCCACAAAGCTGCCAGGGCCTTAGACGCAGGCTGGAAATGGGGGATGTGGGGCATTCACGAGCTTTCCATCCTCATGGGCCCTTTATTCCTAGAGCTCCACGCTCACCACCCTGTTCCTTTTATCATGTACAAAACCGAAGCCCCACCATGGGCCCCGACAGCCCGGGCGGGTGGGCTGACCACAGGTGCGCGTTACCCTTGGATACTGACGCACCCCGTGACCCCAGCTTAGAACTCGCTGACGAAGATCGCCAGGGGGTGTCGATAGCAATACAAAGCACTGGCTCCCCTCTCCTCCCGCCCTCCACCCCAGGTACCGACGGTTAAGATTTTCTAGTTTGCTTTACGGGACTTTTTATCCGCATACGTACACGTATATTCTTTTCTTTTAAAATGTCAGTGCACGTGAGATCTTAGCATGCTGTCGTGCCCTCCCCCCGGTACTGTATCTTGGACACAGAGAATGGGTTGACTGTCCGCAAGGTGGCCATGTGGTGAGATTTGTCCCCCAGGTGCACCGACCCCCTGGGGTCTGCATACAGACACTTTCACTGTTGTGCGGCCCGACCTGGAGGCGTTTGCAGAGAGGTTAGATGGTTGATAGGTCAGTGAACCTTGCAAATCAGAAACCAGTCTGGCTGTAAAGATTTGGTCCTCCCCACGGCCGCCTCCTGCCCCACGCTGGTACTTGGTGGCGTGGAGGGACCGCTTTCCTTCCTCAGAGTCACAGACGATGACATCATACAGTGTTAGCACTTACTCTCTCCCAGATGCGTGGGTGTCTGGGGGGCGAGGGGGACCCCGTAAATGAAGCGCCATGTCCTGGATTATGACTGCCACGTTGTCACTCCTGAATCAGAGTGGGGGTGTTCACAGAGTTCTGAGGGTAGACGGGAAGGGGGCATGGGTGGTCTTGAGCCAAGGACTGTCCCTGAAACCCCTGGCTAACACGTGGAGCCCACCCCGTCTTGACCTTGCAGCGACTTTCATGTGATGACTGTGGATAACCAGTGCTCGGCTGGGTGAGGGCGGCAGGCCGGGCTTCCACGCAAGCCCGTCCTTCCAGCGGGAGGCAGTTTGATCGGTCCACGAGGGCTCCCATACAGAACTCTGCACGGCGGTGGCTGAAAACGACAGAAGCTGTTGTCTCACGGTTCTGGAGGCTGGAGACCTGAGAGCAGGGCACTGCCAGGGCCGGGCTCCATCTGAAGCCTGGAGCAGGGACCCCGCCTGCCTCTCCCAGCTCCTGGCAGTGCTCTGGCCGTCTGGGCGTCCTGGCTTGTGGCCATGTGGCTCCAGTGGCCCACCTTCATGCCGCCTTCTGCTCCGAGCATGGCTGTGTCTTCACGTGGGCACCTTCTTACAAGGTGTGCGGTTATCCGGGGTTAGGGCCTGCCGTCCGCCAGCCCGCCCTCACGTCGACCGTGGTTAAGTTCCTGCCACTCCGATGGATTCCCCAGATGACAGACCAGTGTTGGCTGGAAACCACGCTGGAGTTCAGGGGGTCTGTGCCTCCCTCCTAGGAGGCCATTGCTGTTCAGCCTTCCTCCCGAGGGGTGAGGATTGTCGGTTTGCCGTGAAGAAGGGACCGTGGTCGCTGTTCCTGGGGCATTTTCTAGTTGCGTAAGACCCCAGATGTCCAAGGGGCCCCTACCAGTCCCCGGCTGGCGGAGACGGCGGCCGCGTGCCGTGGGGGCATCGCTCGCCTGTGCTGGCGGAGCGGGTGTCCCGCAGACGCCTTGGGGACAGCATCAGGTGGACGGAGACCCCAGCCCGCGGCCCGCAGCCGTCAGAGGGCTGGGCTGTGGTGCGGGCTCCGGACGTGTTTGGAGCCAATGGGGAAACCGCGAGCTGGTGTCCCGATGGTGACCTCTGACCAGCAGCGTTTGCTGTGTGTGGAAGACACGTGGGGCTGGCCCGTCTGAGGGAACATGCCGTCCCCCCGCCCGCCCCCCCCCCCCCGCCTGTATGATTACAGGGGCCATAGTGCATGTTGCTCCCGAGTGCCCTCCGTGACGCGGCCCGAGGACGTCTCCTCCCTCACGTGAGGCCGGCAGCTCAGAGGCGTGAGCGGTTCTCCCTAGAGCAACCTTGTTTATTGGTCTGAGGGGCGGGGGAGACGACGTGGGCACACGAGCCCCGCCCCGAGACCGCCCGCCCTGTAACAGGAGGGCAGTTTCCCCCGGAAGGGACGGAACGAGGAACGGCCCCGTTTTGTGGCCCTCACGTCCGTTTGGGGCCACATTTTAGGTTTTACGACGTATTTGAGTCTTCACGGCACCACAGCTCTGTGCGTGGCCTCTCAGTGGTCTGCTCCTTCGTGGCCCCTGGGTGACGCCCCCAGCTCTGCCCCCTCCTCAGGGGCGGTCGCCGTTGGCGAGGGCCTCACCGTTCCTGTGTGTGCCCAGTCATGCCGGTGAGGGGGTGAGGGGAAGAGACTTGCGATGCTCTCGGAGAAAACAGCAGCCCCGGAGACCCTCACCCCGGGGTTCGTTTCGGACTTCGAGTGCGGTTTGCAACAGAGAGGCCCCGGGACAGACCCTCGGACCCCAGCCCTCGGACAGTGTTTTCTCAGGGCACCAAGGACTGCAGGTGCCACAGCCGGGAGGGAGACGCGATTTAATTGTGCGGCTACAGCCTCTGCCGCCCCCGGTTTCTGACCGCCAGGACTCGACCCTCGGCGGGACAGGGTGCCTGCTTCTGCCGCGGCCCTGCGTCTTCCAGTTCTCAGCAAGCAGGCTTCCAGCTCCCTGCTGTGTAGACGGGGAGCGATCGGGCAGCCCCCTGCCGAAACCCGTTCTTCCTTCACTGCGGCTGCTGTATCTCTTTTCAGAAGGACAGTGAGCTGCACACTGTTGGCCCTTCCCGTGTCTACTCTTCCCCGGAGCACCGACCAGGCAGCCCTCGGCTGGTCCCCCTGCCCAGACTCCGTCCTCCTTACTAGCTGGAGGGACACTGCCACCCGTACTGCTTAATGCACGACCCTGCAGCTCTAACAGCTGTGTCATGTGGGCTCGCCCTGTGCCTCCCGGGCTGGTGTCTAATAAACTAAAATAATATCGATAATCAGTAATAAAAACACAGCCGGGCATCTGTCTCCTTGGGACAAACCTCTTGGCCATCCGCAATGCTCCCAAGGGCTCGCGCTGCGATCCAGAGCCTCCGGACGTGCTTTTCCCTGGGTCCCCAGGGTGCTCCCCGGCAGCCTGGGGGACAGGAAGCCTGCGGACCCCTGGGCTGGTGGCCGCCGTCCGCGTGGGCTCCACGGTACCCTGCTGGCTTCGTGCGGCAGGAGGGCGGTGTGGTGTGCCTCCCCCGAGAGTTTCTTTCCCTGTCGTTAGTAACAGGATGGGGCAGCGCGGGTCACACAGGGAGGCCTGGGGTTCCCGGGGGCACGCAGACATGGATCTGGGAGGAGACCTCGTATTTCTCGGGGAGCAGAGCGGGCCCTCTGCCCCTGCAGCCTCTTCTCTGGCAGCTCCACACGGATTGTGCCGCAGCTTGGCCTCCGGGACGGCGTGCCCTCGTGGGACAGTGAGTGCCTGTCGCAAAGCCGCTGGGAGCTGCTCCAGGCCCCCCCGAGGCCTGCCCTCGCCCCCCACATCGGGCCACAGGAGCCCAGCTTTGATCTGCTCTTTAGCACAAGCTGCTTGTCTGAGAACCTGTGCGAACAGCCAGCCCCACATTCGAGAGGCGCCCTGGCATGTGGTGGGGGGGTCCCCGTGAATTAACATCCCCTAAAGCTCCTCTTTTGAGGGGTTCTTACTGTTCCGAGTTGCCGCATTCGGTGAGGCCGCTTGACTCCCACGAGGAAGTGAGCGGACGGCCACGGAGTGGCTCAGGCGTCCCTCAGCAGGAGCCGGGTTGGGACCGTTGTCCAGGCTCGGGGGGCCGGAGGGGGGCCCGTTCCTTCTTACCGCCACCTTCTTTGTCACGACGTTTCCTTCCAAACCCTGTTTCTCTGTTGAGCTCTGAGTTGGTATTTCGTAGACGGTTAAGAAATTATTAACCATTTTGAAATTTAAAAATTTTAAATGTACTTGCAAAGAGGACCTTTGGTGTTAGAGAGCAGAGCCCTTAAGAAATGCATCCCCGCGGTGACGCTTCGTGGCCGTGGCCCAGGGATCGGGCTGTGGGTGGGGCTGCCGGGACAGCGAGTGGGGGACGTGGGCGCCTCCCCAGCGGGAGCCTGGCGGCCCAGCGTCTCTAACAGGCCTGCACGCTTGCTCTCCTAGCGTGTCACATTCTGGAGTGCTGCGACGGGCTGGCCCAGGATGTCATCGGCTCCATCGGACAGGCCTTTGAACTCCGGTTTAAGCAGTATTTGCAGTGTCCTTCCAAGGTCCCCGCTTTCCATGACCGGTGAGTAGCGCTGTGACCCCCTGTGCGCGGGCCTTCCCGCGTTCTATGGGCTTTCGTCTGAGAATGTCTCAAAGGAGAAACCACGAGACGGCCTCCGAGAAGTGTGGTCTGGACAGACGTGGTCGGTCACGGGGCTCCTGGCTCGGAAGCATCTGGCGGGTCTGGGCCGGGGCTTGGGAGACCCACTGTCGGAAGGAAGCCCACGGATGGCTGAGGCCCCGAACGTTGGGGAAAACATTTTCTAGAAACTGTAGAGACGGTAGCCAAGGTCACGAAAACGCACTGTAATTCCTTCCTGCCGTGTCCTTTGCAACCAGGTGAGATTTCCACGCGTCGCCTCCGTGAGTCCTCTTCTCACAGGTGGGATATGTCCCCCATCCGTGCCACCGTGGTCAGCGCGTCCTAACTCTGGGCCCTTCCGTGAAGCCCTGAGCTGGGTAGCATGAGGACCCAAAGCCTCCTGTGGCCCTGGGCACGCGCGCCCCTTGGCCAGGATGAGTCAGTAGCATTCTCTGTAAAAAGGGAACAGCATTCTGGCTTTTTAAAAAAAAAAATTTTAAATTTTTATTTACTTATTTTGACAGAGAGAAAGAAGAGGGAGGGGCAGAGAGAAAGAGAGAGAGAGTCACAGAATCCCAAGCAGCCACTGCACTGTCGGTGCAGAGCTCAACACAGGGCTCGAACTCACAAACCGTGAGATCATGACCTAAGCTGAAGTTGAATGCTTAACCGACTGAGCCACCCAATGGACGGTTGTTGTTTTACGTGTTCGGTGAAATAGTTCATACAAATACGAATTGTAAAACAACCTTCAGGATCTAGTATTGAGTTTCCTTCAGACATAAGAATATTCCATGCAGCATAAAGCGTTAAAAGAAAGCCATGTGGGGGCGTATCAATAGTCTGTCCTTGATCGGACTTGCATAATGAAAGCGTCTTCTAAAGGTGTGTTCACTGCAAACAAACCTTTATTTCTCCAAAATTCGCTTTTTCACTGTTGCTCTAACATCTGCAGCCCCTTTCTGTGTCTCAGGCACGAAGGCTCTTTTACTTCCATTATCATGAAGGCCTCGTTCACACCTCTGAGCTCTGCCCCTTTCCTGACTGGGTCATTCACATTTTCTCACCTACTGGGAAGTGGCCTTTTTTTTTTTTTTTTTTTTTAGGTTGTTTTTGGTGGGAAATTGCCTTTTTTTTTTTTAGGTTGTTTTTGGTGGGGAGGGGCAGAGACAGAGGGAGAGAGAGAATCCCGAGCAGACTCCATGCCCAGTGAGGACCCTGACATGGGGCTTGATCTCATGATCGTGAGATCATGACCTGAGCCAAAATCGAGAGTTGGACGCTTAACCGACTGAGCACCCCAGATGCCCCAGGGAGATTGCTTTAAAGGCGATTCATTTGGGAGGTGCCTGTGAGGACCCCACTTTTCCCCGTTGTCAAGCTTCCCTGCGCTCAGACGGGCTGTGTGTGGGAGGAGCAGTTAGAAAGTGTCAGTTCCTACCCCATATACACACCCACTATCCATAAACTGTGTATACTGTGTATAAAATTTTAAAGTTCACTCGTTCTCTGCTACTTGTCAATTTTGTGTGTAATGGGACCTACTTTAAAAAAAGTAGACCGGTACATCTGTGCTCCCGGAATAAACCTCAAAAATCTGAAGTGCAGTGAAAAAGGATATGAAACACGGAAACTTTAAAACCAAACAAACAACATAGGCGTAGTTTACAGATACACGCACGTGTACGACGCGTGTATAACACGTCAGGATATCCCACACCAACTCTGGAGTATCCGGGGACCAGGCGGTGGTGGGTGGGATTTAACTGTATTGGTGGGTGAGTCTGCTCCCTGACATTTCATAATGAAAACGTTCCAACAGTCGGTGAGCCCCTGCACACACACCTACATGCCACCACTCACATTTTACTGCTAATATGATAAATCTGTACACCCGTGATGAGTTTTATTTCTTTAAAAAAAAAAGTGGGGCTCCTGGGTGGCTCAGTCAGTTGAGTGTCCGACTTTGGCTCGGGTCATGACCTCGTAGTTCAGGGGTTCGAGCACTGTGTCGGGCTCTGTGCTGACAGCTCAGAGCCTGGAGCCTGCTTCTCATTCTGTGTCTCCCTCTCTCTCTGCTCCTCCCCTGCTCACACGCTGTCTCTCTCTCAAAAATAAGTAAAGATTAAAAAAAATTATAAAAAAAATTTTTTTTTAAAGTAGAAAAAGCCAACAGAGCAAAATGTTCACACTTACTGTCCATGGTGGATGCGTATCTTTTATGTTAATTATTATGCTTTTCTGTACTTCTGAAATTTACATGAAAGCCAGATAAATCTATAAAAATTATATGCACAAAAATGGGTGGGGGAGCTCACTGAGTTGCCGTGCTCCTCTGAGAATACACTTAAGGTCAGAATTTTCTGTGTAGTTTTTTATATCATCAAGTTTGCCAAAGTTTTGGGGAAAGAAAATGAAGCAGGCAGGATCTTATCTGGTGAGAAGAACTTCAGCTCCAAATGCAGGTATGGACATAAAATTTCTTTAAAGAATATTTTTTTTAACGTGTATTTATTATTAAGAGACAGAGAAAGAGCATGAGCATGGGAGGGGCAGAGAGAGGGAGAGACACAGAATCCGAAGCGGGCTCCAGGCTCCGAGCTGTCAGCACAGAGCCCGAGGCGGGGCTCGAACTCACAAACCACAAGATCATGACCTGAGCCAAGTAGGACGCTCAACCGACTGAGCCACCCAGGCACCTCCAGTTATTAACATTTTAAACCTCTTCCCTGTTTCAAAGATGAGTGGAATTTTCCAGAAGGTAGGACAGCGATGAAGGCAGAAGTATCTGGCCAGCCCATTCGTCTGCTTTTCATAGCTGAGATCTAGATAGTGAGGAGGCAGTGACTGAACTCTGTTTTCTGGGGTAGCAGGTCCTAACATTAGATTTGTTGGTTTTGACAAAAAAACTCCACTTTCGGCTAAAGCCCTGGAAAACCCCTCTTCTAACAGAATGCAGAGTCTGGACGAGCCTTGGACCGAAGAGGAGGGGGATGGCTCAGACCACCCGTACTACAACAGCATCCCAAGCAAGGCGCCCCCTCCGGGGGGCTTTGTGGACGTGCGGCTGCAAGCCAGACCCCACGCCCCTGACACGGCCCAGGTAAGTCCCACACCCCTGCCTGGGTCTGGCCCCTCGAGCACTTCCTTCCGGTTTCTTCCACTGTGCTCGCAGGCTGGCATTCTGTCCGGTCTCTGGCGCAATAACGCACGTGCTCCGTCCCCTTGGATTACACACGCAGACACGCAGGGGAGGCTTCTGCTTTAACGTCCTAAGGCGTTAATCACATGTCTGGGAACTAGGCTGTGATTCCGGAGGTGCAAGTCTGGGGGTCTCCTCTCCATCCCGGGCGAATGCCATTATACCGGGAGCTTCGTGAGGAGACGAAAGAGTTCAGGACTTTTCAAAGGCTCGGGGTGCTTTCTTCCCCCGAGAAGACACTGGGTGCGGGCCCTTAAAATGATGAGCGTTTTATGAGCCTTCCCTTTTCTTCATTTCCCTGAGTTTTCCTCCAAATCAACACCGTTCCAGTAAGGCGATTGCTTTTTAGAGTTACCGCGTCTCTATTTCGTGACAGAGAATTTTGTGAGGTCACCCACCTCATGCAAATAATAATGACACTGACGAAAGTGGCAAAACAACACGGAAATGAAGCGTCCGCAGCTCTGACGTGGAGAGATGGACGGGGCGGACTTGCCCGGGTGTGAATGGCTGAGGGAGGTGCGTTCCGACGTACCTGAGCTTTACCCGAGGGCGCGTCCGGTGACGTGGCCGCGTGTATGGAGGAGAGCCCCATTTTCGGTCACACTTAGGGAGGGCTGGTGGTGTGAAATGAAGACAAGGAGGGGCACGTGTGGTTTTGATGAGACGCAGCCTCTTCCCCACACCCGTGCAAACGCGTTTCCCGAACCCTAATGCCAACCGCGAGGCAGGAAGGAAAAGGTGGGTGTGATTGGGGATGTGGCGGACCCGCCGTTGGGTCCCTTCTACTGGGCTGTGGCTTTGGGGGATGGAGAAAGGGGGAGAGGCAGCTTTTCCTCTGGGCATTTACACACGTCTGTAGTTTGCAGGCAAAGAGCAGACGTACTACCAGGGGAGACTCCTGGGAGAGCCGTTCGGCAAAGACTGGAGGCAAGCACCTGTCCGGCAAGGTGAGGGGCACGGCCGGGGGGGCGGGAGGAAGACACGGGAGCACGCGCTCCCGGCGGGGACTTCGTCCGGGGGCTGGCGGCGCACGTGTGTGTCCTGGCGACACTGAGGCCCCGCCCCCCCACCGTCGCGGACACAGGAAGGAGGGCTGCAGGGGGCGCCGCCCGTCCTCTGGTGCCTCCCCTTTGTCCCGGCGCTTCCCGTTCACGTGCACCCTGGACGCGTCCTTGTCCTTCCGGCAGGACGGCCTGCCTCCCAGGGGCTGAGGCGCGGGCCTCCCGACGAGCCCGCACCCGTCCGGGTGGCTGGTGGCTGGGGCTCTGTGACGTGTGTTTTGCGCTGTCCCTCAGCGCTCCAGCGGGGCCGTGCCCCACGACTCCTCACAGGAGCCGGCAGCTTTCCCTTCCTTGCCCGGCCCCCGCCCGCCCCGTCCAGGGTCGGCTTCGGGAGGGACGGAGCCCACACGCACTAGAGGTGGCGTGGACAAGCAAGTCGCGCACGGGCCCTGGGCGCTTTCAGGGGCGCTTCCCCATCGTGTCACGTCGACTGACGTGTCCCCACTTGCCACAGTTCGGCCGTGACCAGGAGCTATCGGCAGGCTCCGTACACCCGAGCGTGTCCGTGTGTGTGTTCCACAGGGTTCTTTCGACGTTCAGCTTCATCCTGAACTCCCTCAGTAGCTCGGGGGTCCTGACCCCTGGCCGCTGACGCCTCAGGGTCTGAAGGAGAAGCAGCAATGGGGAATTAAACTCTGATTTCTGATTAACGCGTCCACGTACGTATGTGTGACCGCATTTTGGCTTCATGCCAAGGCCATCCCCGCCGGGGAAGAGATGACGATACATTTCTGGAACTGCCCCCTCGTGAGGCCGTTTCCGGCCTCACCTGCCCGAGCTAAGGGAGGACCCGTGTGTGGGGCCCTCAGTACAGCCTAAGGCCTAGTGGAGGTGGCCACGCAGCTCCAGCTCCCAGTAGGAAACACGTAGCAAACCAGAGTCCGAGCTGTGCCAGGAGCACCTTTTTTCTATGTTCTTACCTCTGTTCCACAGACATTTAAAAAGTATTTCTAGGGGCGCCCGGGGGGCTCAGTCGGTGGAGCGACCCGACTTCGGCTCGGGTCAGGATCTCGCGTCTCGTGGGTTCGAGCCCCGCGTCGGGCTCTGTGCTGACAGCTCGGAGCCTGGAGCCCGCTTTGGATTCTGTGCCTCCCTGTCTCTCTGACCCTAACCCACTCGCATTCTGTCTCTGTCTCTCTCAAAAATAAATAAGCTTTAAAAGAAAATTTAAAAGTATTTCTAGACACGTGTGTGCTTAACCACATTAACAACTGCTAAGGACCAACGGAGACACATTGTTTACAGCAGATGCTGGCTGTTATTGCAAAGTATGTCAGGTTCACTTGAAAATGAGTCTCTCCTTGTGTGTTCCCATTCCGGCCCCTCCCCCCACCCCGGCCAGATCAGGATCAGACAACGTAAGAGACTCCAAGGTAGAAATGCACCTGAGGGTCATATGTCTCAATGAATTTCAAGTTCTTAGTTGAAAGCAATAAATATCTTTTTTCCATCGGGTAAGAATATCCTCTGTTAATTTGCTGGCAGCCGTTGTCCCTTACCAAAAATTAACACTCGGGGACCCCATCGTGGTGTGAATGCCCCCTGTCCCCAGCTCTGCACCTGCCGTGGTCTCAGTGGGAAAGGGCCATCGTCAGGAAAGTTACTTGTTGGGCTTTTGATCTTCTCCTTTTAAAACTTAGTTTGTAAAATCCTTCGTACAGACTGATTTGCTCGCCACGCACATGTGCACGCACACACACACACACGTGAGCGGCAAGAAGCCGCTATGGAACCAGGACACATAACACGGGAGCGGCCCGTGAAACATGAAGTCATGCTCAGGAACAGGTGTAGACACACGAAGGACTTTTAACAGGACACCTGCACCCTCTCGCAGCCCAACAACGGGCTCTGGGGAAAGCTTAAGAAGCCCTCTTGCCAACTGGATTGAGCCGCCCATGGGGTGTGAAAGGTGACTTCTCTCCAGAGACAGCGCTGCCAGAGGGCGGTGGTCCTGAGAGTCTGTCTGTGTAAGTGCGTCAGAGACGGGGCTCCCGTGGCGACCCGAGCAAGTGGGATCAGGCACCACCGTCACCCCTCGGGCTCCAGACCAGCCTTGGCACTCTCGTGGCACAGCTGAGAAGTCCCGTGGGGGCGCTGCCCCCGGGTGGGGTCCTCCAACACACGCCCACCCTGGGCCTCCTGCGTGGAGCCTGGGGCATGACGGGATGCTTCGTTTTGTAAGGAAGGAGCCGGGCATCGCGTGGCTAGAACGGAGTTGACTTACGAGGCGTCCGCTTACACCGAAAGGGAGAACGAGGCGATTTAATGAGGCTCATGGTTCTGCTGCTACTTGCTCAGGGGGCTTTGTAAAGGGGACGAGGGACCCAGGCAGCTTCCGCCGTGGCACATCTGCTCTGCTCACCGACCCCGGTCGGGGCCGGAGTCTCGGGCAGGCCCGTGCCGTCAGGGTGTCCATCCTCGGGGGCTGGCATCTTGACATGAAGGCGGGGAAATCGTCCCGGCCAAACACAACAGTGGTGACAGGGTCAGAAGAGGGGGATGTAGCCAGTGGGGACCCACAAGAAGAATTAGCTACCAGATAGCCCGTAGGAACGCCTCCATGAAGTGTTGGGTGGCTTACGGATAGATGCGCAAATGGCCTTCCCCTCGTAAGAGAAAAGAGCGCTGGTTTTCTCGTTGCAGGGTCCTTGGACACCTACAGCCTGCCGGAAGGGAGAGCTCACGCGGGCCCCGGAGAAGCCCCCACCTACGTGAACGCCCAGCACATCCCACCGCAGGCCACACCGGCCTCCGGCAGCAGCGCGGAGAGCAGCCCGCGGAAAGACCTCTTCGACATGAGTGGGTTTCTTTTCGCGTGTGGTTTTCTTGTCTTCCGGGGTTGCTTTCCTCTGTCTGAAATCTTTGCCACGACCGTACTTTCTGCTGGCAGGGTTTTGATTAACGGTGATGTGAATTACTGCCCCAGCTGAAAGAGGACCACCAGCGTGTGGTGGCCGGTCAGCACCGCGTAAGGCCCGCAGAAGCCACCGCATGGCCATGGCTCCACCTCACTTTTCTGGGTTATGGTTGGGCTTTTCAAGGCTTTGCACTTGGCCGACCTCTGCTTTAGGATGACAGCTCTCTCTGAAGTCCAGAGACAAAGCAGTTTCCCCCTCTGTGTGGAACTGACTTTCCTCTTGAAGATCTGTCTGCGCATATCTCGAGATAAATGATACACACAAAAACGTCCTCATTCGTTTATTTACTTAAATGTCAATTGGCCGTTACGTGCCAAATACTGTATCAGTTGCTATGGATGCCAGTGTGAAATGGCTTATCACAGGGCCTGTGGTCTGTTGAAAATGACCAACATAGAAGCAAGAAATGGCGAGATGCCCTCTCGCGTGCACGCACGCATGCACACATGCTCTCCTGTATTCCTGTCCAGTGAGCACCTAGTGTGTGTCTATACTCATCTATTTACTGGGGTCTACAGGAAGACAAAACAGAATCCCTACTCTCCTGGAGCTTGAATAACCCTTGTGCTGTAACCAGTAGCAGTAAGTGCCCTGAAGAAAAACAAACCAGGATGAGGAGTGTGATAGGAAGCTACTTAGCAGCGTAGTAACGTGCGCCCTGGACCTTCTGTTTGTCATGTAGACTGGGACAGCTAAATCATCCGTGAACTGAGTAATGAGAGTGGAAGTCATTGCTAAGGCATTTTGAGAGAGGCTTCTGACTTCACAGAGAGCTTTACATCCCCATGTGGCTTTGGCGGTTCCCTGAGAACTTCACAGGGGAGGAAATGCCTTGATAATTTAACAAGTGCTGGGCATTCGTTGTTCTGTTTAATTTTTGCAACAGTCCTGCAGGTCCCTGCCATTATTATTTTTACCATTCCGTTATTATCACGATTTTACAGAGGAGAAAATGGAGAATCCTAGAGGTTCAGTAACTTTACCACTTGGTCAAGGCAGCCTTACTGGTTTGACGTGTGCTGTTTGTGGTGTTGCATGTGAATGAGGACATGGTGGAGTGCTCCCACGATCAGGTGGCGTCCTGACGACCAGAGTCTGTTTCTCCTCAGCCGCTTTGGTTTCCCAGACAGTGGGTTCCCGTTCTGACCCCATTCTGTGTACAGAAGTCACCACACACAGAAGAACTGTGGAATCTCAGGGCTTAGAGGCACCTTCACCACCATCTAACCAAATCCCATCTCTTAAAAAATGTGGCAATAGCCTCAGAGGTACGAAGCGACTTTCCCAAGATGCAGACCAAAGTGGTAGTTTTGTGAGCCTCTGCTTGCGCTGTAATGGTGTCTCCCAGCTGCAATTTGGTACTTGTATTTATGGTCAGACAGTTTAATCTAGTCAATTTACCAGTGGCTCCTGGCCCCAGAGCCCAAGGGGAGTTAGATAAGGTGTGGGTTTGAGATGGGAAAAATGAGAACCAGAGCCTCCCTTTGGTCATCCATCATTTTCTACACCTGCTTCCAAAACTAGAGAAGGGCGTAATGGAAGAAGAAAGGGCCCTGGAGAGGCTAGTTTCTATTGAAAAGTATGGAAAAAAATGAAGCTAGCAGTCTTTGTTTATCTTAAACCACTAGTGTAAAATAATGATGGTGCCATTGGTAAAGATGGTGATAGTTAATGGTGCTCATTGTGATGCTGATGTTGATGGTAGTGGTGATGGAGATGATGGTTGGTGACATGATGATGATGTTGATGATGATGATGGTGATGGTGCCTCTCCTGGTGCCTTTGGCAGTGGTGGCAATTGTGATAGTCATGATGGTGATGGTGGTCATGATGGTAATGATGATGATGGTGATGTTGATGATCATGTTGGTGGTGGTGATGGTGATGATGGTGATGGTGATGGTGATGGTGGTGATGGTGGTGATGGTGATGATGGTGATGATGGATGGTGGTGGTGATGATGGTGGTGGTGGTGGTGATGATGATGATGTTGATGGTGGTGGTGATGATGGTGGTGGTGGTGGTGGTGGTGGTGCTGGTGATGATGGTGGTGATGGTGATGATGGTGGTGGTGATGATAATGGTGGTGGTGGTTATGATGGTAATGATGATGGTGATGTTGATGGT